CGTGCGTCTGACGAAGTGGGTATTCACCCACGAAAGCTTATGCTCCAATACATCTGTTAGGCTTTAAGGTGCCCCAGGACTCTTTGTTGCTTTTTACAGATCCAGACTAACACGGCTACCCCTCTGATATATTTCAATGGTCCTCTCTGGTTCAAATGGCAGCTGAAAGGTCTCTACAAATACATATGTTCATAACACAAAACAGAGGGAGCATTTTCCTAGACATTTGAACATATCAGTTCATTAGATTCAGACATGTTTAGGTCAACGCTAGCCTTTGGTTTCTTTCTGGTAAACTTTGCCCCAGATTTCAGATATTTCTCCTTATTATGAATGACTTGGATGTATTGATCATTGCTGCTGGTTTGCTGATCGCTGCTGGATCCAATGGAAATGGAATCCGACTCTGTTAGAGATTGTTCGAGCTTATGCTTTGATTTAGGTTTCACATGATGCTCTGGATAGGGCTGATCAAGATCCACATGTTTCATGTGTGACTTTTTGTGGGAATGTGGGGGCCTCTCTCGTTCTAGCTCAAAGCCATCATCCCAGGATTTGTAGTGCACTTTGGCTAGATCCTTGCCAGTAAGGATTTGACTGTCCACACGTTCACCAATGTAAAATCGGGGACCTGGGCGAAGATCTGAGAGTGAGCGTGGACGGTAGGATCTGTTTATCAAGTCTCTCCTTAATTCCTCCTCCTCCTCTTCACTGAAGTGAGGGGAGTATGTCCTGTGTGGCGTTCGAACCACATATCTTCTGACGTTCCTTGGATATAATTCAACTATGTCTCCTGACTCCTCCATTCTGAAATGCCTTGGGAGCCGGGAAGTGGAACGGAGAAGCTTTTTGCGGGATTCATGTTCGTTAACAATAAAATACCTTGTGGTGGGCACTTTGCGTCCCACAAAAGCTGGAGCTCCTGCCCCAAGAGTGTCTGGATTTACTTGTTGGATACCTTTCCGAAAGAGAGGCTCAGAATGAACATCTTCAACACGCTTTTTGAAAGTCACAGGAGTGTAGGGCTTTGTTTTACAGAGCTCACTTGCACTTCCATGTACAACACTTGAATACCTTAAAAAAAAAAAGGAAGTAACATATTTATCCCCCAAATAGTCCTGCAATTAAGGTAAATAGTCAACCCATTTTTTTAAACAGCTGGGGAAACTGAGGCACTGAGGTTTAGGGACAGATTGTGAATCCCTTACTTACACAAAGATGTCCTTTTGGAGTCAAAGAGCTACTCATGTGAGCAAATGATCTACAATGTGAGTTTCATTCATAATCTGGTCCTAAGTGACTTGCCCAAGGTCACAGAAAAAGTTTGTGGCAGAGCAAGAAATCCAGCTCAGACATCCTAAGCCACAAGCGAGTGCCTTAACCACAAAGCCATCCAAAATATGTAACTCAATGAATGTTCGTTAAGGCTTAGATAATCCTCTGACATGTTGCTTCACCTTTACTATATTTGTCAATTTCGTGAAAAGAATATCCTATTTGAATTGCATTTTAATGCAGTGTAATTTGGAAAGTTTTATCTTTACTTTAAACAAGTGTAGGAACTTTATAAACTATATCCGCACAAAAATACTATAATCCACTCTAGCAATCAAAGGTGATTGCTACCATTCCATAGTAGCCAAGTGCCTGTGAGCAAAGCTGCTTTTAAAAACTATTCTGCCAATGTTTTGTTCATGACAGAGTTAATTTGGATACACAAATTTTGTAAATAAAAACAAGTATTTCATGGAAATATTGAAATACATTTCATTTCAGAACTAGGAGACAGCCTCACCTGTTTGCAACCTGCTCAGTTCTACGCTTCTGTATGCTAGGAACAGAGGGAGTTGGTGTTAAAGTTGTTGGAGTTATATTTGCTGGCCTAGCAACATCAGCTTGGGGTACAGATTGTGAGATTGTTTGTATTCTGCTGCCTTTGGTCACTGGAGATTCAAAATTCAAGACGCTGCCATTCTTACGGGGTGTTGATGACCGAGTTGAGGACTCCTGATTGGTGAGGTCATTCTCCTGCTCTGGTCTTTTGTCATTTCCCTCTAGATTCTGGATACTAGCTAGAAAAAGCAGAGAGTGATTGTAACTTGAGCTGTCAGATCTTTAAGAAGGAAAACACATTGGCTCAACTTCAGCCTGCAGTAAATGGATGGCACTCCTATGGAATCCTCTGGGCAAATTCAGTGGAGATAAGCACTGAGCACCGAGATGGTGTGGTGATCGGAGTCAGTATAAGAACCCGGGTGGATAGATGGTGCCCAATGCATGTCAGGTGCTTGTTGATCAGAAAATTGTTGAAAGTGGCAAAAGTATTGTAAATTGCACTGATTTGTCATTTAGTAGATATGCAAAATTAGTGTAATTTACACACCAAATCCATGAAATGAGGATTACAGGAAAAGAAACCACCTGGAGGATGTAAGATAAAGCAGTCTCTTCTGAAGAGCATCAGTTGCGCTTATATTGCACCATTACTAACAGCAGCGGGGCCAAATTCAGCTCTAATGTATGTGGGCAAAGCTTCCATGGACTTCAGTGGCAGTTGCACCCACCAATGCCAAGAGCTGAATTTGTCCCCCCACGATATTGGTGTAATTTACTGTATACTACCAATTGTAAACTATTACTGTATACTACATTCTCTATTACAAATAGTATACTATTGCTGCATATTACATTCCTACTTCTGACCCAACAAATAGCATATACCACCATTTATGTCGCTGTTGGATTTGGCCCAGTAAAAATTATTTTTTAATGAGGGATTTCATGAATGTATAGGTTTGAACACTATCAGCATTGTTACACAGTTAGTAGATAAAGGTGAAACCGAACATTCCATCTAGATTCAGATTCTGCTCTCATTACATCAGTGTCAATCCACAGAAATTCCATTTAAATCAATGGCCTGGTCTACACTAACCCCCCAAGTCGAACTAAGGTACGCAACTTCAGCTACGTGAATAACGTAGCTGAAGTCCAGACCAGACGCGATAAGTCGAACCCAGAACTTCGATCCCCAGCCGCCGAACTAGCGGCTGGGTGTAGACCAGCCCAATGAGTTACTACACATTGACGCTATTGTAAATGAGAGCAGAATCTGGCCCCATGATTTTAATTTGATTAGGCAACCTAAAGCCTTTAGAAGGTCTTTAGAGAGATCCACATTTCACTTATCAGTTGTAAAATGTATAATAATTTCCTCATAGCATAATCACCTTATAGGATAAAAACAATTACAGTGAATGCTAGGCTAATGCTAAAACTGACACTAGAAGTAGTAGGTTTATACAATACACAATATATTTTTTATTTGTACCTACTGTGCATACAAGAAATCAAAATGGCCAAATGCTTTATTTATAGATGTATTTATAAAAGCTCCCAACTTACCTACTGCTATGTGAACCACCTTTTTCTTGTCTTCGGTTCTTTCCTAAAATATATATAGATATAGGGATGATTAACTAGTAGTTTGTATGTTAGAAAGCAAATGAGTTAGCAAATAAGAGGTATGAATACAGGATTAGTTTTATGTTGCAAAACACTTAAATCAACTTTAGAATTTTAATTAAGGTTAATGCTTTGTGAAAAGCCACCAAGGAGTGGGTAATAAATGCTTTCAATCAGTACTTACAGTTTGGATCTGCATTCTCAGTTGCCTGTTGGTGAATTTTAATGACCTTGCAATACTCTGCAGGTAATAAATTAGCATGCTAGAAGAGAGGAACACAGGGCTATCTGTGAATCACATCTGAAACGTTTCTAGCAATTTTCTTTCAGAAAGGCTCACATGTCACAGAAATGGAATATGATTTCAGTTCCTCTCCAGTTTTTTCCTTTGCATTGGGACAGTAATGCAAAAGACAAACAAGCTTTTTGAAGGTCTAACAGTTAATTCTTTGGCATTTCACAGCTTAAGAGATAGGGGACATTAAAAACTAAATCTTCAACAGACATTTCCAATTGTGCATGCATTATTTGCACGTTCAAAAATCCCACCCTCTTGTTTAACATTTGTAGGGCCCGATGGATCTGCTGTGATTCACACCAGCTGAGAATCTGGACCTTCATTCTGAGTACTGCACTCAGAAACAAAATAATATACATTGTGGCATTCACTCCCTCCCCCCTTCTCTTTTAGCTTTCAAAACTAAGTTCTTTTTGTGGAGATGGGCAGAATATAGCAGCAGCTTTGAGGACAACATACAAAACATAGTAGGTTTGCATATTTGATACACAATGCAACTTAGTATAATATAATGCTTCTGCACATTGTGAAGTGTTTGCTATGCAATGGCTATTTCTCTTCTCAACATCTATCTCACCTTCTGTGGAGAATGTGTGTATGAGGGGTTTTTTTTATGAATATCATATACACCTCAGTTTACCTGCTTGTTGTTATCCTGCCTGACTGCATAGAGTTAAATCAAACGAGGACGTTAGGTGGAAACTGATAAAAAACAAAACAATAATAGAGATAAGGTACAAAGGATCTATAAGGGAACAGTGGAGGAGTTATTAATTAGGAAATGCCCATCTGCCTGGCTCAAATGAAGTGAACAGGTTAATTTTTTCCAGGCCTGATCATAGGAAATGAACATATCCAATGAATATAAAGGAGAAAATATGGACTGAATGATATTTTGTGAAAGTGATGTATCTTTCAAACAGCTCAAAATAAATATCAGCTCCCAGATGTGATTATTTAAGGAGTGGGGCAGAAAGGACTGGAGAGACTGCAGAAAACTATATTAAATTAACATTTGAGAGCAGGCCTTGATAATTAATTTATCCTGTCCGTAATCAGGATGATTGAGTAGCTTCTATAGATGACAGATTGAGCCCTGTGTGCAGTCATATACTGAACTACTGACCAATAATAAACAGAAGATTGGTTTCTGAGACACTCCTGAAAGAGAAACAGAGGTCTGGAAAGCTCGTAGAACTACTATTAGGTCAAGCCTTGACAGCAAGTAATAACCTTACTGAACACTGGGAGAGCAAACCCAGTATTCCAGGTGGTTGGCCAGGGTTGGTCAGCTGTGTCTCAACACTTAATTATCCCTACTGGCCTTTGCTGGACCCATAAAGGGCTGTTGTGCCAGGTCTTGTTGCTTAAATTAAAGACTAACATAGATTGGCTCATATGAATCTGAAAATCAAATGGCCATATCATGCCATCAGATATTTAACAGGACTCACTCCAGTGAAACTAATGGAAGGAGGAAGTGTTTATCTTAAACATTTGATGTTATGCTTTAAGCGTGTTGCCACTCCCAACTGATCCCTAATCCATAAATTCAACAAGACTTCTCCAATAGGTTTTATAAAATTACTGTCACGCAATATTTTTCTCCCACTATTAAGATTTAACTATTTACAGATAGATACAGTACTGATACAGAGTAATATCACTATGAAATGTAAAATACTTACAATAGAAGTAATAAGGCAGGGAGGACAACTACAGGGCTGCTGATATAATTAATCACTGTGTTGAACCATACAGGAAAATCTGCTTTAATTGTTTCAGACACAATATCATATATTTTCTCTTGTCCACTAAGGGGGGAAAAGTTAAATTTAACTCTAAGAAAATTGTCACCATTTATCATTTGAAAGTAATATTGGATTGAATAAAACATATTTTTATGCAAGACCATTATGACTAGTCCAGCTCCCATTGAAATCAATGGAAAAATTGAACGGGATCAATCTCTTTTTAAAATATGGCCAGAATTTTCATGTGTTCCCCAATTTTGGGTGCCTCAATTTGAGGGTATGAGACTTGCGATACTTTGTTCTTGATATTCAGAAATGCTGTGACTTGTAGTCCAGTGGTTCTCAAACTGGGGCCGCCGCTTGTGTAGGGAAAGCCCCTGGCGGGCCGGGCCGGTTTGTTTACCTGCCGGGTCCGCAGGTTCGGCCGATCGCGGCTCCCACTGGCTGCGGCTCCCTACACAAGCGGCGGCCCCAGTTTGGGAACCACTGTTGTAGTATATTGCATTACATCACGCAAACATATGACAACTGAACAATGCAGATAATGACAAAATGTCTGCAGTTGATAAAACAGATGAAAAGACTTGGGTCAGATACCACTGTATATATTCAGGTAGTTTAATAGCATTTGAATCTGAACTAGACATTTTTGGCATAAGTAGGACACCATATATACCATAGTCCCAAATTAACTTTTATTTATCAGTAATCCAGCAATATTTCCATTGAAAACTGTTTAATTTATTGAGACAAGGGAACTAACAACTCTCTACAGTTATTATTTCAATACAACTTACCTAAATGGACCACAGCTTAAAGATGGTTTATATCGGGCAATAGCAAAAATTGTTGGTAACATGCACAAGAACAACATAAACAGCAACATAGCCAAGTAGAAGTTATTAGATCTGCAAGAAAACAACATTTTTCATGTTGTATTAACAATACAAACAACCAGAGCCAATGTGCAAGATACAAATCCACATCAACCTGACAAGTGCAAGAGCTGCACTTCTGAATCATCAATATTGTTTTCCGTTATGATCAGGAAATAAATCTGGGCAGTCTGTACACATTGGCCTTGTGCAGATTGTTAATGATCAAAATTCTATTTGCTCTGCTCTCCAGATAACTATTTATAGTATCCACACTGCAAAAACTGAGGTTGCTTCAAAGTTCTGTTTAAAAAGTAATTATGAAGGTTTGGGTACTCATTTATTTTTAGATCTTAAGAACCTGTTATTTTTGACATGTTTTAAAGACTTGAAAAAATCCTTAATTATTTACCTTTTGGCAAGAAATTGAGGTATTCTTGAGAAAAAAAAGTAACGGGGTAACGCCATTGTATAGCTTAAGTTACAGTAGTTGGATACTTCATAGTATATAAAGAGGGCCCTAACAAATTCATGGCCATGAAAAACGTTCCACAGACATCTGGTCTTTTGTGTGCTTTTACCCTATACTATACAGATTTCATGGGGGAGACCAGCATTTCTCAAATTGTGGGTCCTGACCCAAAAGGGAGTTAGAGTGGTGTCACGGTATTGCCACCCTTACTTCTGCACTTCCTTCAGAGCTGGGTGGCCGGAGAGCGGCGGCTGTTGGCCGGACGCCCAGCTCTAAAGGCAGTGCCTTGCCAGCAGCAGCACAGAAGTAAGGGTGGCAGTACCATACCATGCCATCCTTACTTCTGCACTGCTGCTGGTGGCAGCTCTCCTTTCAGAGCTGGGCTCCTGGCCAGCAGCCGCTGCTCTCCAGCTGCCCAGCTCTGAAGGCAGCGCTGCTGCCAGCAGCAGCACAGAAGTAAGGGTAGTAGTACCGCAACCCCCCCCCCC